AAAAATGTGGATAAATATCACGAGAAACAAAATTGTTTTTTGTGATCCATGAATTACTAAATCTGAGGTTATGGCGTAAAATCTGAGGTTATGACATAAAAATCTGAGGTTGTGACGTAAAATCTGATGTTGTGACGTAAAATCTGATGTTGTGACATCATGGTTTACAGTTGTTGCTGTCTATTTTTTATTTCTATGTACAGACCAACAAAGATGTTGGTGAAATTTACTACAACTTTTTTATGTATGTAATTAAGTTATCACGAGTTGTTTTTAACAAAATATCGTACTTCTGTTATCATCTAGTTTTTTTGTTTTTTTTGTGGATGTTTTAGTTAGAATTTGGATCATATTTATAGTGGCTTTTCAAATAAATTGGCAAATGTTTTAATTTTCTGAAAGGAAGGTTTGACCAGATCAGCCAACAGGAAGACATAATATTATAATAATATTAAAAACTATCCCCTACCCCCTTCTTTTGTACAATACATGGATAATTGGGTACCAGGTAATGTATTTTTATAAAGAAAAATAAATAAAGTGTATTAATATGGTTAACCTAGTCTTTGTTTATTTGAAGATATTAATGGATATTGGTACTTCTTGCATTATCTCTTTTGCTGTAGCTCTGTTCTGAAACTCCTACCAAGCTGAAATCAGCTTTTACATTCGGAACGATATATAAACACAATGTAAGTATTCCTTCTTTATCTTAAAAAATATTACTTACAAAAAAACAAAAACAAATCTTAATATCAACTGTTTGAGATTTTATCTATCAGTACATCTTGAGTAATATCATTTTAAATGTTTAATAATCTGTATCTTTACAGTGCAAAAGAAAACTTCGAGAGTTGTGGGACTCCTCAGAGTTGATATTCTATGATTTATGTATCCTTTCAGTAGGCTTAGCTACTAAACAGAAAAAAAACATCATTTGAGATATCTAACTAGTTTTACTTTGTAGAAACAGAGATAGAATGTTTAAAGACTTTGTGATAAACGTGACAATTAAGAAAACACTAACTTAGCATTTGTTGGATATTTTTTTTTGCATCACTTTCTTGAATATGAACTCGGTTAAAAAAAAACTAGATTTTTTTTCTGTCAGAATGTATAGATTGTACCAATAATAAAAAGTAGCTATCATGAATCATCCTGAACTATTGGTAATCAAACTCCAGATTGTAAAATGTTAACAATAGTTTCCTGGTCTTATGATCTCTTGAAGTCCAGAACATTTTCCCTTAATACGATATTACATAAAACCTTCACTATAATCAGATTTAAGAAGTGGATACAACAACAAATCTCAACTTTATCCAATACCCGTTCTTGTTTCTAATCTGATGAAAAATGGAGACCACGTAAACAAAGGTAATGAGATGTTTTTATTGTTAAATAAACTCTATTTTAAAACTGCTTTATTCAATATTTTACAGAAAAAAAAATATTAACGGATATCATGGTCAGATATTTGAAAATCGCCTCAATTCCTGTTTTCTATCCTTTGATAGAAAACCAAAGAAGAGTTGTTTGAGAGTGAGAGCAACTGGCTGGTTGAGAGTGAGAGCAACTGGCTGGTTGAGAGTGAGAGCAACTGGCTGGTTGAGAGTGAGAGCAACTGGCTGGTTGAGAGTGAGAGCAACTGGCTGGTTGAGAGTGAGAGCAACTGGCTGGTTGAGAGTGACAGCAACTGGCTGGTTGAGAGTGAGAGCAACTGGCTGGTTGAGAGTGACACGAGAATACTTGAAACAAAAAACAAAATAAGTTTTTTTTTTTGGTGCTGTACATTTTTTCAGTTTATTTTCATCAGTTGTTAATTTGCCCCCTGGTGGGACTGTGGTAAGTTTACACTAAACTCTGGATTTAGTATCTTCGAAGTGAACAGAGTTCAAATAGCCTATTTTGTGACTGTGCTAAAAAAAATTATCGATGTTAATTTTGGAAAGTTTTTTTTTTTTCACACTTCTGTACTTTGTAAGTAGTTGGGTATGGTTGTTGAAACACGGCTCTGACGAACCTGATAAAGTTACAATGAGGGTTTGAATGGTTATCTTTACTTATAGCACATTGTTGATGACATGATTTCTCAAGTGCGTGAGATGTAAAATAGCCAGCTGAAGTTTCAGAGAACAGCGAAATATCAGTCTGAAACTGGATTACATAGGGATAAGCAGGTTGAAAATCAAGGCTGTTTCTAGTCATTGTTTTTGTATTCTTTTCAAACCAGTATCAGAAGATAAGATGTTCAGTATTACAGAACAATGGAAGAAACATGTTGGTTTCTTTGTTAGTACAAACTCGGTAAAAAATTCCAGGACTTTTTTTGTCTGTTTGCTGCAGTTTTGAAAGATTTTATATACATGAAAAAAAAAAAACTTTCTCAGTGGTCAGATCATCATGCATTTATATAGATTAAATATGTTAGTCATGTTAATTAGCTAAAGCTAAAAAACCGATGAAAAAAACAAACATATACCATGAAAAATAGCTAATATAAAATAGATGTTTTTATGTTCACAATTTTTTTGCGCTGGAAAGCTCTTTCTCTGATAATTTTAAACTGTAAAAACAAAACTTTTAAATCACCAGAGGAAGAACACCCCCCCAACCCATAACTTTATGAACATTAAAACATCTACTTAACATTAGCTATTTTTCGTGGTATAAGTTTTTTTCCACTTTTTATCGAAATCATTGTTTATTTGAATATGATACTCGTGATCCTGACAAATTTGATGTGTTTAGGAAAGGATACTTCAAAGTGGCAGCTGGTAAGGAGGATATTTTTGACAGATCCAGTGACTGCTACTGAAGCAAAGAAAACATTTATCAAGAGGAAACCTGGTGCTAATGTTTTTCGTTATGCTAAAGATATTTCTCTCTTGTAAGTTCTCTTTCGTGTTAACTAGTATTAACAGCAGTGTAGAAGGTAATCTTTTATTCTTCAGCTATTTGGGTGTTAACCTCAGATTTTACGTCATAACCTCAGATTTTACGTCATAACCTCAGTTTTTACGTCACAACCTAAGTTTTTACGCCACAACCTAAGTTTTACACCACAACATCAGATTTTACTTCATAACCTCAGTTTTTATGATTAACAGATAAACTAGAACACTTGTAAACCAAACCAAACTAAAAATACTGTTTTTAATGTAAAAGCTACTGTTATCTTCTTTAACAATAAACTATTTTGGTATTTTATAAAATTATTACTACAAGTAGATTTGTTTCTTCAATCCAGTCATCAAGATTAAACATCACAACTGCTGCATTCCATCTTAATGGAACATTCCTCGGATTTCTTCCATTTCAAGAAACTGTCAGACAGGTAAGCTAGTCGTATCATAACAATAGAAATAATTACAATTTTACCTACAATTATTGATAATCTAATTAGTCAAACTGACCATTTCAAGAAACTGTCAGACAGGTAAGCTAGTCGTATCATAACAATAGAAATAATTACAATTTTACCTACAATTATTTATAATCTAATTAGTCAAACTGACACAAAATAAAGTATTAAGTTAATAGCAAGTGCTTTACATATTAATCATCATTGTTTACAAGTGTTCTAGTTTATCTGTTAATCAATATTACTATTCAACCTACAAAATAGTACTTGTAATATTAAAA